ACTATAAAGCATGAACAAGCGGAGTCTCAAAATAAGAAAAAAATTGACGGAAAATTCAGTACAACGTCGAATGAGAGTTACACAAACTTGCACAGACATTTCACAGGAGTGGGCCGCAGTCCAGTGATATCAAGTAGAGTTCTGGTGGGCGAGGCTGGCTGTTGTGTTCTGGCCAACAGAAGCACGGTTTGAACGAAGAAATTACTGATGACACAACAATTCTTGCGAGGAATGAAGAAGGGTGAATGTCCTTCTAGCATTTGAGGGTCGGATGTCCTAAGCACCGAGTTCTCCGTCGTAGACGCTGCTTTCTGTGTCGTGGCTGAGACAGAACGAGTGCTTGCAGCCTGCATGTGCGAGAACCGAAGCTGATGATACGATGCCTGTATTCCTTCGTTGTACATGTGGTAGCGGCATGTCTCTTTCGATACTTTCTGTGCCCTTCTCTCTGTTTGTTGAATCGTAGACACGGCCTTGAGAACTGGTGAAGAAAACTTTGTCAGCGTTGCTTTCTGTTAAGATGGTTTAGGCATTGACTTTGTCTTTGCTTCTTTAATTGGTGTTGTCTCCGATTAAGCCACAAGTGCACTCGTGATGAGGTTTCACTTGTTCGCTGTTCTTGTTCGAGTAAGCGTTGTAGTGCCTGGGGTTCGTGGAGTTGCCTTTGTTGTAGTTGCTCGTTTTGTTGCAAAAGTTGGTCAGATGGGTATCTTTCAGGAACATGAGTCTTTTTCTTTGCGCGATGATGTGATCAGTTGATAGTCGGTAGTCGATACTCTACTGCTGGGCTTGTCTTGCGATGAAAGCAGCGTGACAGACTGATGAGAAAGCTCCCAAGTTGGCTGTGTGTCATCATTGATTGTAAATGCTTCTGTCTGTTCACAATGCGCCGGCGTTGGTGGACTCAAAATTTCTGCAGTTTTTTCACTCGCATGTGTGTTATCTCTTGACGATGAGAGCACAACAAACATGGCTTGAGGTGGTTCTGGTGGCGTGTGTTTTTCTTTTTGCAGCGGGATTAGGCTGAGAATGTCTGTCGAAAGACTCTGGTCCAGAACGTCAGGGTGTGGGCTGGTATTGTGAGGATTCCCCAGCTCGTCACGCGTAAATGCCGTCACACGTTGGAAACCGTCTGGGCCTTCTGTGTGACACGAATCATCAAATGATTTGGGTGGTTCAGTAACATCTGAAGTGTTGTGGTGCAGTGAACACGTTGAAAATGCCGATATTGTTGCTCTTGGGAAAGCCCGCCTTGGGTTCAGTTTTTTGGCGAATTGGTCTCGATTCCTTTCGGTATACAGAGGCTTTACTTTGTCTGTTGTGACGTGCACGTTACCAGTCGGTGTTGGAATGCGTGATGTTTTTTTTTTTTTTTCGGAAGAGTCATATGATGGTACAATGGTGGTATATTTTCTCTGAGGTTTTGTTTGGAAAATAGGCTTACGGCGGAAAGACATCGCGTAACTGTGATGGGTGAGTTGAGAAGCCTTCCGCTGATGCAGTGCGGACAGATCTTTATCGTATTCTTTGAAACAGGTGATCATTTTCTCTTTGATCTTCCTCGAAGACTCATCGTTCTCGAAGATGTGGATGAGGTAAAATTTGAAAGCCTCACCGGAGACGTAGTCAGTAAAGTTGATGACCATCTCCCGTTCCGACCAGGATGCAGCGGCGGCGTGGAGCTCGAATAAGTTGAACCAGTCTTGTAGGGGTCCATCGTCCGCTGATCCGGTGTACCTGGGGATGTCAAGGTCAGATGATGGTGCTGTCATGATGCTGGTCATGGTGTAGAGTTGGAATGCACTTGTGTGGTCCACGTTCGGTCACTGCGTCTTGCTGAGGTGTTCGATGATGATGGCCGGTCGATGAAGCGGCTGCTAGTTCTCCATCCTGTCGACTCGTGTGACGCTACAATGAATGGGCGACGTCACCTGGCTCATACGCCATGTTTTTATTCCATAAGCACTTCTTCATCCTCTGCCTCTACCATCAGTCACTGCCTTCCTACGTCACACACACACACACACACACACACACACACATATATATATATATATATATATATATATATATATATGTGTGTGTGTGTGTGTGTGTGTGTGTGTGTGTTAGCCTTTATACAGGCTAACAGCATCACTGAAAAAATATATATTTAACGGAAGATGATGTCGTCGCCACGAGTGGTATGTCGCTTGAAGAAACTAGTTAACCCTTTTCTAAAGAGAAATAAAGGACATTGTACTAACATTACTAAAAGTTACATTTTTCGCTGTGCTTGTAGAGCTTTTTTTTTCTTCATAAAACGACACTGCTATTTCCTTTCAATCAGGTTCCTTTACTTTACTAACTTCAGTAATAAAAATAGCTTTAAGATGACTCTGCCACAAGATAATACAGTGAATGATGGCAATAAATCGGAAGACAAGACACTAATGACAAAACGTAGGCAAAAGTAGTTATCTATCAACAGCAAACACAGCTATGACGAGTGTAGCAGTCGTTGATTCTATGTTGGACCAATTTTTATTGAAGATGAGCATAGTTGTCATGGGTCATTCTGGTGCAATATATCCAGGTGGCTGGCTATAGTATAGTAAACGGGAGCGAAAATTTTGAAGCTCGAAACCCAACGCACTTGCTTCTGTATATAGCACGAAATCGGTTTCACAAAAAGAAATGATCATGCTGTCAATTCGCGACTCCAACTGAGCGCTCACCACCTGGCGGCCGCGCTTGTAAACGGCGCTAGCAGGGTCAGCATTGAAAGGAGACATGTTACCAGGTTGCGCGCGTTGAGAAGCGGTCACGCAGCTCCTCCTTCAAGAAAAAAATTTTGGTCCATCTGTCTGTACATTTGTCTGTTTGTGCACCCTTAACGATACCTCAAACGGTCGACCCTATCCGCAGCACCCACCCAAAATGCTCAAGATCCAGCGGTCATACTTGTGCGATAGTTAATTAAAAACCAATCATTTCGCATATCTAAGGTACCATAACAACACGTCGATGTTTTGTATGTGTGCCTTTATTGTAGAGAAGGCGCACACAAGTCATTCAAAGGACCGTAGCGTTAAATACGCCGCACTGACAGTGCAACGCGGTGCTCAAAAAGGCAAGTGTTATCATCGCTTTGCTAAAACGACACGGTGGAGGCACCTGCCCGTTGCTTTGTGTTCTACACCTTATCGCCTCCTAAAATGGAACGCATCTTTCTCCGCAGGCGCACGCGTGCCTTCCTTCGTTTTCGAAGATAACAGCCAGATGGCGCTCGTGTCTGATGTGCCTCAATGCGCTCGTTCGCCTCCGCTGCACACTCGAGGCACTCTAACGCAGCGCCTCCTGAATACCCTTCACCGATTTTCTTGCGCAGAGCATCAAATAAATGTTTTGTTCACTCTCTCCAGATGCAAGACTCGTCTTTCGATGGCATTTGCAATGTAACATGCAGATATGGGGCCAATTTTTTTTCTGCCATGCCACGCACGCGATCCCGAAAAAAAAGAAAGCGATGTCTAGAGACAGGGTGCCGCAATGCGTGGCGTCGTGGTGGAAAGATGGCAGCGTATCGTTCTGTCACTGCTTGATGAATGCCTTATTCATAGACACCTAATATGAATGACTTTATTCAGATGAATGACCTTATTCATAGACACCTAATAACATAAATCGGTGAACGGAAAGGAAGAAGCACTCCTACTACACTCAAAATTACGATTAGCCTTATCTCAATATACAGTGACACAGGCATAGATCCGTTTTATAATCAAGTGAACGGCGTGCGTATTGAGTTTTTGACGGGACAACGGAACTAATTGGGATGCGTACAATTCGCAGCATGAGTCGCAGCGTAGTTACCTCAAGAAATGAGAATGTCTTTCCTGTAGAAGTTCAGCAACGCTGCGCAAAAGTGGTTGCGTCATTTGGAAAGGCCCACTACGCATGAGTATTTGCCTTCTTCGACTTTGAGCTCACTGGACATGTCCTTTTAACTTGAAAGAAAATCGAATGCGGTTCGCCAAAGAGGCACGATGTTTGCACGCACAGTGCAACTATTTCCGCTGATTCCCCAGTGAAATCATTTTTGCCAATGAAAATGAGACGGTCCATGGCCAGCACCGTTTCGCCTTCAACAACGCAACGTGATTCGATGCCACAATGAACAAACGTCAGCGCAGCGCCAAGCGAAAGTGCCACATTGACTCTGTTAAGCGCAGCCATCTTTGTTTTTTCGACCAGTGTTGCCAGCATACGGAGAATTTTAAGAAGTTGCGAATAGTACGTTTGAGTGAGGGCCTCACAGCGCTCTCACAGAACCACATTCGCCCACACATTCGCCTGATGAATTCAGATCAACGCGTATACATGAGCCATAACTCCAGCTTAATACTACTCAGAGTCGCTCTGACCTCCGACCTTGAAGCGTGACCAATGTTCAGCCAAATGACGTAGTACGCTTTCGTTTTATTTTAGGGGCGGAGCTGCTTATGGCGTCACCCGTTCGTCCCTTTATCGTTTGTAACCACTGGTGGCACAAACAGACAGACAGACAGACAGACAGACAGACAGACAGACAGACAAACAGACAGACAGACGGACGGACGGATGAACGGACGGACGGACGGACGGACGGACGGGCGGACGGACGGGCGGACGGGCGGGCGGATGAACAGACGATTCACGGTTTACCAATAAAAACCTCCGACGCTTCGCCCCACTCAGCATCATTCTCTCCATGGATATGTGATTTTTATATATATTTTTGCAGTAGGTATTCCATCGTGTAGCGCTAACGCGCCTTGCGCTTCGATGTTTATTTTCACAACTGAAGCAGGACTAACGCGATGCTTCGGCGAACGACTTTCTACGGCTCCAGCCATTAGGGCGTACTCCGCATAGTTAGCGATTTTAGTTACAGCGTGGTATTGAAATCACTCGAAAGGTGCGATTAGAAGTACGGCGCCAGAAGACCTGATGGACATGCGACAGGCATACGCACTCACCGGGAGAGAGCAGGTGGCCATCTGAAGGCGGGTAGAGGTGCAGGAAGGGCCACAGCGGAGGTGGCTGGTCTGCCCGCAGACCGATCGGCCACAGCGGTGGCAACAGCGGGTCTAGAAGCCAGTTGCCCGGACGGGGAAGACCCGACAGGGTCGGCAAGCCTCCTGCACCACGTAAACGTTGGTAAACATCGCTTTGAAAAGAAAGCCAACAGCGCGCGCGAGTCGGTAAAGGCAGGGCGCGTGTAGCACACCTCTTCGCCCGTCACCCGATTCAGAATCTATACATGCATCGTTCGACTATGATCGCATCGACAACAGCAGAGATAGATGCTATATCGCGTGCCCGTCATCTGCATATCTCATGGTTCGGTTGAAAAAACATTCCTGTCTTTCGCAACCACAATTTCTGAACACAGTTTCCTATCAATCAATCAATCTATCTATCTATCAATCAATCATTCAGGATTTTTTTTCGGCTTCGAAGACATTCAATAGAGCTTGGTGGGTACAGACAAAAAAGCTATAGATCAGGTTTGACAGGTTTCCCTACCCCCGGGGCATACAAAGTATACAGCAAGGCAAAAACGGGCAAATGTTATACTCATCCGGACAGCGACCTTCATTTGGCGTCGCTACAATGTTCTGACCACGTTTAATATGCGGTAAACACAACTTGCAATAAATATTGCTAAGTCGTGCACATATGGTGATATGTGGTGGTCTAGTGGCTAGGGTACTCGGCTGCTCACCCGCAGGTCGTGGGATCCAAATCCCGGCTGCGGCGACTGCATTTTCGATGGAGGCGAAAATGTTGTATACGCCCATGTGGTCATATTTGGGAGCACGTTAAAAATCCCCACTTGGTCAAAACTTCCGGAGCCCTCCACTACGGCGTCTCTCAAAATCTTATGGTGGTTTTGGGACGTTAAACCCCTAGTATGAATCAATGAATCGCAGTGTATGGGTTACTGTTCCACGTCTGAGACGTCAATGTGTAGATCCCGTGTTATGCTATGGAATGTGGGATTGTTTTACCCATCTGTTTCGCAGACTCCCCGGTCTTCCAGGTTTAAATGATGATTGAGGGCATTTTCAACACCATTTACTGAATACAACTGCTCGTATAGAAAGCACCCGAATTGCGAGCATGCAGCCCTTCGTATCTGTTTATCTGTTCAACGTCTCCCTTCCGTTAAAACAAAATCAAGCTTCATGCCACGTCGGAACTTCTAAGTCATCCTAATGCTTCGGATCAAAAGCCTTTTATTCGTAGACGATGCTATAGGTTAGCAAGATTACCCCCCTTTAAAAAATCTTTGCCCGATTGCCATTGAAACGTGCGGGACTGCAGCTGCGCGCGCCGTTGTGTCAGGTCTTCCCATTCGAGCTTCGCTGCTTCAGCGCGACATTCAAGCCACTAGAACGCCTGACGTAAATGACGTCAACCCGGATAAAATGCCTCATCCTACGGGCGGAAACCACGGCGGGCGTCTCAAGCAAGCAACGGCAATTCAGGCGGTGCGCCTGACGTAACCATGGCAGTGCTGATTCGTCACGCAAAGAGCGGCAAGTCCTCTCATACACAGGTTCAACTCCAACAAGCGATAAACGGTGGTTTGTCGTTGGAGGCTTCGAACTACTGGCCGATCAAACAGATGCCAGGGGTTTTAAATAACGAAGCCGCGCGAAGAGACGGAAAGAGCGAGCGAAGAAATCCCGCGTCCCAATCGCATCTCAGGGCGCACTTATCAAGCTTTCGGCTCCGGTGCAGGATATGTAACGCCTCTGATTGACTGATATGTGGGGTTTAAGGTCCCCAAACCACCATATGATTATGAGAGACGCCGTAGTAGAGGGCTCCGGAAATTGTGACCACCTGGGGTTCTTTAACGTGCACCCAAATCTTATCGCATGGGCCTACAACATTTCCGACTCCATCGGAAATGCAGCCGTGCAGCCGGAATTTGATCCCGCGACCTGCGGGTCCGCAGCTCAGTACCTTAGCCACTAGACCACCACGGCGGGGCTATGTGACGCCTCTGTTTATTCTGCATGTAAATGTTGCCTTAACTCACCCTGGTCTTGACCGTTTTGTGTATCAGCTTTTCTCAGAAATGACAATTGGGCTGAGGTAGCCAATAGCTTATATGGTATACTAAGAGCACTGAACGTTGGGCGAGTTGATAATTCCGAACTACAAGACTGCGCAAAAAAGCGACAAGAAACATAGAAGACACCCACACAAGCACACACTACCAACTAAAAGTTAATTGGAGGATACACATGTATAACTAGCAGGGATTGCAGTATTGCAACATTGCAGGGATAGCAAGTGTTACCCATTACTTCTCGAAACAAGGGTGTTGTCCTGGCACAGGAATAGGACAGCGAGAGAAGTTGCTGAGGCTTTTTATATACACAAGTACATGGCGACACGTGCATGTGTTGCGAGGACTTCAGTGACTTTGCACCAACTAAATATAGATTATCTCACTGCCAACCTCTAATCTTTCACGTCATACTTTTTTGTTAGTTTTATATGTGTATCCTTCAATAAACTTTCAGTTGTTAATCTGTGCTTGTGTGTGTGCCTTCTATGTTTTTTGTCGCTTTTTCATGCAGTTTTGTAGTTATGGTATACTAATAAGCGCCTTTTAGCACCAGAGGCGTGTTGTTGCTCGAATCTAATTTAATTATACGGTAAGTGTCGCTTCCATTGGCTGCATACAAAATCGCGTTTCAAAGAACCAGAAGTGTTCCGCGAATCATTTATCATTCATCGCAGTGGTAAACCCTAATTTCTCTCATGCTATGGAATGCTCGGGCTTGCGCTTACGGGGCATACTCGTGCGCTTTTATCGCACACTCAGCTAAGCTAAATATTTGCGTATATCGAACATCGAAAGTGTGCACGCCACGTAGTGTTCAGTGATGGGTGCTGTCATATCTGTAAAACTACATCGCAAAATGGGAATACAGGATATGTCCTAAGTTGTCAAGATCACAGCAATCTACGCTGATTTAAAGAAATTATGCAGTGCATTGGGGTAATCGCCGTTCGTTCTTTTTTATTTCTTTACAGGGCAATTTAGGCAAGAACATGCGGTGTTGATACTGTGCTTAAAATCCGTCTCTTTATGGTCGACGTAGCTTATGAGAAGTGAAGCCTATAAACATAAACGCCACAATACGTTAAGGTCTGTGAGCTCTGAAACATCGCACATGGTTACAAGTTCAAATATAGACTCCAAAATTTACAATGTATTGAAATGACCTCATTACTTTTTATTTAAAACGAGTCGTACCAAGAAAAAAATGACGAAAAAAGATTACAATGAAGCATATGTATAATAACACGTGATCATAAAGCATGATTATTTCAGAGCCGGCCGAAGTGTACTTCGCAAACCAATGCAATAATGTGGCCCTGAAGTAGTATGCTCGGGAAAGCGTATTTGCGACTCTCAAGGGAAAATGGCAAGCCTTTGTTTTATTTCGTACCTAATTGACTCGTTTGTTAGCAGGGCGGCACGCTATATCGTGAGGGCTAGCAGTTATCCCCGCTCTTCTGGACCTCCCTGCGTTCGTCTCCATCATTAATCCCTTCGCCTCGTAATCTATCAAGCTAATACGACAACTCCACCCTCGCCACACTTATATGTGCATTACTTTGATGCTCGAAGGCCGCGACGGGAACGAAACACGAGAGGTGGAAGACGGACAACAATAAAGTTGCTAACACTCTGCACCATTACAAATTCATTCACCAGCAAAACTGTAATAACCGTCGGACCCCTTTGCGGGTGTGTAAAAAAGAAGAAAAAAAAACGAAATGCAAACAACGAGCCGCACTCTTCCTGCTGCCCCCCTTTATATCCCGGGGTCTCCCGCGTTTCGTCTTCCTTGCAATGGATGTTCTCACGCAAGGACTCCCCAATAAGCAGAGCAGTTATTTTCTATTTGCTGCTGTCTTGAAATGGGTCCTCCCGAGTTGCCACAACGGCGTTTTATAATGGAACGCCTTGCAGGCGGCCGTGTGAGCGCCCATCGGCTGAATGGAAGAGCCAGGTTGACGGCGGCCGCTGGGGCGTTTTGCGCATCACTCACTTTCTTTTCTTTTTTTCTATACTCTTCCTCACGGCAGAGCTGGTGGACCGACCGGAAATGCCATGGCCGGCCGCCAAAGGCCTGTAGTATGAGAGTGTAAGAGAGGAGGCTGTAATGGCATTTGGAAAAAGACGATCGCAGAGAGCACACACGGAAGCGGTGGCGGCGCGCGTATTGGAGCTGATCAAATATTCAGCGCCATCAGAGTAAGCGCTGCTGCCGCCGCCACGACTCCCGTTCGGCCCGTCCGGCGTCCTAAACATCGGCCGCCGGGCTTCTCTCCGACACCGCCGACGTCTCTGTTTATCGGCGCACCGGCTCGCGCTGATAACAGATTGTCCCAGTAACAGGACGCGACGCTTTTGCTGCAGCGGGGCGATGGGAGTAGGGGGAGGGTCTCGGTTCCGCTATTGTCAGAGTGTATATACGCCATCACCTCGCGCGGTGGTGACTGCAGGAGAAGAGAGAAAGCGAGTCCACTTGTTTGCTCGCTTGCAACGTGCCGCCCGCATGGACGCTACAGGCTCGGTGCAAACGTTATTTTTATAATGCAGCAAATCGCTCACAGCTCGGAGTCGGCCGACAGCCATGGCCGAGCGCTCCGCGCGGGTTTGTACGTATCCGATATTGTGGCTCTTTTATATGTGCTGTGCCCGTTTTTCTCTACATTTTTTTTTATTTGAGTGCAATTGGTGTTTCTTGCCATCGTTTCTGCTCTGTCTGTTTCATAGGACGTGCACTCTTCAAAGCTATGATATTAGGCAACGTAATCTTTGTCGTGCGCTTCACTTCTTTCATTTTATTTATTTGTTTTCCGTGCTGGTGGGTATAAAAGTTGCATTGTGGCGTTCGTAGGGCGGAAGAAACGGTGACTTATGCTTAAATACTGCTAATTTTATTTGCATTATTTCATACTTTTTCGAGGTCGTTTACAAAATCTTCATTCATTCTACCATCTTGGACTATTCCTCTTCATTTGATGCACGTGTTTTATTTTATGGAAGTAATTTGTTCCCAGTGCCTTCGCCACCGAGAAAAGGTATATATACATAGGACGCATTGAACTCTTGGTCGCTGTACCGCAGCATTATGCCGCATTATATCTCTCGTTCATCGGATGTGTCGAGCCACTTGTTCAAGCAGAAGAGCGGTGACTTTATCAGGAGAGCACAAAATGTTAACTTTTCTTTTGTGCTCAGACATGACGTAGTCGCACTTGCTCCCTGTATATGTGCGTATAATATTTTGCCACCTTCAGTTCTCGGAGTTCTCTCTTTTTATTGTTTGTTTTTGGGATTTATTTACATCAGCAACAGAAACGAATTTAACAGCCATAAATATCGTTCACACTAAAACAAGCTTGTGCAATGATGCTTACGTAGGCTGCATGTGTTGTGGAGCTGCAATATAATATACTTGTTTCATGACCAGCTATTGCAATGATGCGTAAGCGCTTCTACCCATAATTATTTGCCATAAATAATAAGACCGTTCTTTACACTGCATTTGGTTTATTGGACGTTTCTTGAATGTTAGGGAGCATTAGAATAACGGGGCGCATAGGCACGCACGTGGGCATGTCACGAGGTATTTTTTGTGTTTCGCAATAAAAAAAATTCTCAATAGATATTAAGCTAGACTTTGTTCAATCGGACATTTCGCCAAAGGATCTACATATTTATTATTACAAATTTTCTCCCAGCTTCGTTGTTTCAAAACTTAGTGAATTAATAGGGCTTAATTAAAAAATTAGGCTGGATACAAAAGTTAGTATGTCTTGCTCCGTGTAATAGTAAGTATCAAAGATTAGATGGCATTGTCGTGGAGTGCGTCATTGTACTTTTAAACTCTGGCTTGAGTTGACTGGGCCACCCGTGTAATGTTGGGAGACAGCAGGGTTTCATGCAAAAAGCGCGACCTCACCTGCGACCGCGGTTGCGAAGGCTTTTTGAAGAGCTTGAAGTCACGCGACGACTTGTGCATGCATATGATGGTTTAAATTGCCGTGGTCATTGCTACGGGTACGTGAAATTTCCCCGATGCTTGGGCTGCGTGTAGCGCGCGGGTTCCCTTTGTCGTCACATTCCGTTGCTTGTTTCTTATTAGAAATTCCCCGTTTCATCACGCCGACTATAGCCAAAGCTCCTGATCTATTTATATCACTGTATAATGTCAGCATGATCTCATAGTGAACGGTATAGTACGGCTTCCTGCACGTAGTAAATGCGCAACGATTGAGCATACGCAGATGTAGAACGCTATTTTGTCATGTGAGCGATTATACTGTCGTCATACTATCACTGATGACCAAGTTTACTTGTCACCATTGCGACCTGGTCGTTACTGTCCTCTGATGACGACTTATACTCATTACGGAGAATTGCGCGAGTATTGGGGCAATTCCAGCATTATTTTTGAAAAAAAGCACTTTCCGAGCTGCTATAATTAAATAATACATCGACTTAAATCTCCAAATACCAGTATTAGCAATTAAGTATTCAAAGCTTCCGAAATTGAAGTACGGGCATCGCCGTTGTTATCTTCGTCATCATCGAGAAGACGTTTTTGATCAGGACTGTGCCGACGAAACTCCCCGCACGCTAAGTGTTAATGAACTATTCTAATAATGATAGCTTTCGGTCAGCGTCAAACTTTTGTTACGAACGAAAATATAGACTATGAGGTAAATTTGGGCAAGGAGAAGGAGAGTTTCGTTTGCAAGTGCCCTTTGTCATTCACCGGACGGCAATCCCGATTAGCTGTAATATATACTTCTTCACAGTAAATTTTCTCGTAAAAACCCATATCCTTTTTGTAAAGACTCGGAATATTTCAACACAAATCGAGATTCACCGAACAAAAATATTCATTGAGTGCACCTGTGTTTAGGAGCAATATGCATGGAGTGAAATTTTTATTTCGCAGCCTTTATACTGGTATCGTGGAGCTCACAGCTTCTGGTCAGAAACCGACCTTGACGGAACAACCGACTCTTCTAGTCGGCTCCTGCCGGCAACGAAACTTTTTTAGGTAATCAGTGCGAGATACATTGTTTGAATTTGCTAATAGCAATGAATATTCAAGACGACTGGCTGATGGGCTATACATTAAAAGCTCGTTAATTTCAAGCTTACTGGACCGAAAAAATTTTCCGCATTAACCAAATTCCGTACTATCAAAAGTGTCAACAAAACAATCGATAAAAACCTATTTCATTATTAGAGTTGAGAACTTTATGTGCCGTCAGTGCACCTTCATTTTCTTGATGAGCACGCAAATTGTGCACTTGTCTTGCATTAAGAGCAGCATGAAAGCCACGGCATTCGCAACTCCCGACTTTTTTTTTTTTCATAATAAATCTACGACCTATCCTAAATATTCTGAAACGCACTAATCTGAAACCAGCCCACAACGTTGTACAACGCGGCGTTAGCGTATACGGTTCACGCTGATGGCGATGTAAACTGCACCCCCTCGTTTCGGTTCTCTGTGAACGCCGTTTTCGCTCCTTTGCGTCGCACATCTGCGGCGCTTCGCATTCGGCACGCTTCGGGAAAAATCCGAATTAACGGGGCTGTGCCCAAATGTGACCGAATGAACGAGAGTTTGACGCCAGTTAACAATACATGACTTGCCAGAACCAGAGAACGCGAACGGAATTACCTGTTTTTGCTAATTAACGGTTGTGGAACTAACGAGTTTTCACTCTAGCTGGTAAGACATAATTAACAATGGT